ACTGCCTTTGTTAGCATATGAGGCTACGCACTGGTGTGCGGGAGATGCAGAGTAAAAGCCATTCTCCCAGATCAACACTTACCTCTCCTTATTATACCCTGAGTAAAGCATTGTCAAACATGAGTGAAAACCAACCCCCCAAAACCAGCTGAACATGAGAGCAAAGTTGAGGAGATAAAGTGGGGGAGAAGAACATTAACACACTCTCCTCAGGTCATGACTTAACAATAGTAAATATATTGTAGATTGAAATACAATTAATCAATGTCTCTGTTGAATTCATCACTACAACACTGAAGTCATAAACTGTCAAATGACACCAAACATGACTAAGTTATCTGAAAGAAGAACACAAGTAGATGAATTGTGTATGGTGAAGAGCACATGGTTACTCTAAGCAAATGGCAAAGATGTGTATCGGAGCTGTGAGGAACTCTGCCTCACCAGGAGGACCCATCCCATGCTTCGAATGTCTCAGTAGTCCTTCATTAGCATAGAAGGAAAAGTATATAATATTTTATCAGCATACACACTTACTTTACGTCATGTAAATAGCAAATGCGCTTATGGTGCGCCGTAACTGGCTCTTAAACGGAATGGGAGATGAGACTCTGATTGGTTTATTCTCAAAACACCTATAACTAATTAGGAAAATAAGCTCAACCCTTTTAGATCATGTGCCATGGTGCAAAGCGGATTTTTCCATCCTAATATTAGCAAAAGTGGATTCTGACATGCCCTGAAAGCGCTTGCGTCCTGCACTTTGCACATGGACTGTCAAAATAGAGCCCTACGTCATCGATGATGTGACTGTTAAAAGTGATGTCGCAGCTTTAGTTTCGGGCTCAGGCGATTTGGGGCACTTACACTTGTGAAACAAACTGGGAAATGCACCCGGGCATGGTTCGGATAGCATAGTGTGAGTAAGCCCTAAGGATTTTTTCTTATGGCCCAGTTACTTCTGTAATAGGTTCTTAATGGAAGATCATGTAAAGCAGTGGTCACCAAACTTGTTTCTGGAGTCCTGCAGATTTTAGCTCCAACCCTAATCTAACGCACCTGATCAAGCTAATCAAGATCTTACTAGGTATACTTGAAACACCCAAGCAGGTGTGTTGAGGCAAGTTGGAGCTAAACTCTAAAGGGACACCGGCCCTCCAGGACTGAGATTGGTGACCCCTGATGTAAAGGGATGTGTTGCTTTAGTTTTCTTTCCCTGATTAGAGAATTTTTCTCTAATCTGAATTCTGAGAACAGATGTTTTTGTATCTCTTTGCAATAAAAAAAATATACAGTATATAAAAAAAATAAGTTTTGACATTGATTATTGGTTATTGGTCATCAAATTGTCGATACCGATACCCTGAATTCAATACCGGTTCCAAACGATACGTTTTTCAATACTTTTATTTTAAGAAATATATTTTAACTAGATTACATAACACAATCTCAGAGAAGCTTTGGTTTTATTTTTTCAGGATGTTTGTGACACTTTTCACAGCAGGCTTATCTCTAAGACCAATAAACAAAGGAACAAAAGCACAAAATGAACAAAGTGTAGTTCACACAATATATAAGTGCAAACAGTTTTAATAAAGTTCAAGCAGTTTTAAGTCAATCCATTTTAAGTATTTGTGAGGCTTACTGCTGTTTAAAGGTTTAGTTCACCCAAAAATTTAAATCCTGTCATTAATTATTTTCAAATGAACATATTTTGGATTTAATCTAAGAGCTTTCGGATCCTCTCATAGATAAATCGTTGAATAAAGTTGTTTTTGTGTACTTTGCACACAGGAGTATTCTCGCAGCTTCATATAATTATGATTGAACCACTTATATCACATGGACTTATTTTGACTATGCTATGTTTTTGGTTCCTTTCTGGGCATTGAAAAATGCCTATCCAGTAAATCTAATCTTTCTCCACAGTAGAAAACGGCAGCAAACCTTTAACAATAAAATTGTAACGGCCCTGTGGCTTTTATCTTTCAGCAGGAACAGAGACTATAACATTAATTTGGAAAAAACATGAAAGCTAAACTGTTAATGCAGCCAAGGATAAGGACATTTTATTAAGATAAGTTTAATGTAAGGTAAATTTCATAATTTACTGTTAACCTTAAAGCATTTTAGTATCAACTTAGCTAGGTATTTAAAGCCATCAAAACAGTACATAACAATACACAACGTACATTAGGTCCAAAAAAAAGGATTATTAAATTTACCCCGCACAAACCCCGTTTACACTGTCAGGTCTTGATGCCCAATTCCGATTTGTTGCCTATATCAGATTTTTTTGCTTGTCCGTTTACACGTTCTTTTAGGGTGTACTCACACTAACAGTGAGCCTGAGCGTGGTTTACTTGGGCTTTAGCGTGGTACACTTGTGTGTGAGTGCAAAACGCACCTAACCCCGAAACTGAAAGCGAGACATGACTTTTAAGAGGCTGTTTCATATGGATTTATTAATCATTCTTACTGTTCAGTGAACGCAAACTGTCATAGTTTATTAAAAATGCAAACCCCTCACTGCACGACAGCTGCGCACCTTCAGCAACCTCATAATTCCTGCAGCACGAGGACTTTATGACTGTTTATGAGCGTCAAAAGTGGCGGACCTGTTGGGCGAGTTCTGCCATCTGTGCCACACTAGCCACTGCGAAATATGCAAAGAGTAGTATAAGCAGTAAATGGTTCAGTCCTGATTTACCCCCACGCAGTTTATGTAATGGTATAGCCCTGATGTGTGTGTGTAGTTGAAGATGTGTGCGCACTGGTGTTAGAGAAAATAAGTTGTTCTATGTGTAGCTCGCAGTGCTTGTACTAATAGCGTCAAAAAGCAAAAGTTACAACACGAAGTTCGCCCAATTTTAAAATGATTTTGAGGCGGAGGAGGTGGGAAAGGGCCGTCATGTCTGTTTACCTTTCGGAGCCCCAGCCATCGCGCAGTCATCCTCATCAGTCACGGGGAATGACGCTTGTGGTGGGCACGTTGTTATGATGACTGCGCCGGCGTGATCTTGCAGTCAACAATGCAAAAATGTTTTAAAGTGTAGTGTACACATGACAGCCTCACATTTGAAGAGCTCTGAGCGAGTGGGCTTAAACTATAGATTTTCAAGACAGCCTCGCTGCTGCTAATCACCAGCATTTGATCCGGGCACGTTAAGGATGCCGCAGGTTTTCTAGCTTACTGACGTCGACAAGATTATACCCTTGGGTATCGAAATTTGGTACCGAACGAAAATGATTTTTTCGATACTCGATAGTATCGAGACAATTCTGTCAGTGCTTAAAAAGTATGGAACTCGATACCCAGCCCTAGTCATCAGCCCAATTGGGTAGTTTTATTTGCACATAGGAAAATTAAGACCTGTTTAAAATGATTTAAGTCCTACAACACTAAATTTTTTTTAAACACTAAAGTCTTTTTAAGGCCTAAAATTTTATTTCTGAAATTTAAGACATTGAGACTTTAAAGTCCCGCGTAAAATAAAAAAAAAAACTGATAAAATAAAAAAAACTTTTGACTTTCTCTGAATATAGCAGGGTTATCAAGAGTTGTACAGCAAATTCCCATGCATTTTTGACAATGTTAGCAAGTCCGTGTATTTTTTATTATGGACACTAAGATTTCCCCCGAGGTTGGACAACTGGTTGGAATTCAATTAGCTTCATCCATTTTGGTAAAAATCAGGTTTACAATAAATGGCAATATTAAGGCTTTTTCTGAAACATGGGACCCATTTAGAATTTTATTTTCTGAGCATGTCAGTATCTCTACAAATTGTCAAACTAAATCTTATGGCCTTTTAAGTGCAAATGTAATTAGGTACTTTGTATAAATACCTGAGGATTAATGTTTGTAATTTTGGGTAATCAAGGTAAACAGTATTTGTGTTCTGTACAGTTTTTTTTTTTTTAATTTATTGATTTTTGTTTTTTTTTATTTTTGCAATTTATTTATTTAATTTGTTTTTGTTTGTTTTTTCTTTTCTTTTTTTCTTTTCCCCAATGTAATTTCTACTTGTTTAGATGGTAGGGTTGGGAATAATATTTGTTTAAATTTCTCTGTAAAAAAAGCTTTGTTATATCTGTAAAAGTTTAATAAACAGATTAAAAATGAAAATAAATAAATAAATAAATATTTTATCTAACCTAGCTGCCCAAAAAAAATTTAGAAACAATTTAGTTTAACACAAACCTTTTATTTTAAATTAATATAAAAATAAAATAAGGACAAAAAAAATTGACAAAAAAAATTAAAGCTTTAACAAGTTTAAATGAAAAAAAACATGATACTAATGATACAAAAGAAGAAAAAAAATCTATATTATCCAATAATACATTAAATAAGAAACCAAAATAACATTTTAATTTATGAAGCAAAAAAAGGACTGGAAAAATGTGGGTGACAGACTGTTCTCTGGCTCACACTAATTCACTCACTCATTCAGAATTCACTCACTCATTTCAGCTTTTACACACGTGACTACTGTCTTTCAAATTATGGTTGCACTTCAGATTTGAAGAACTTCTATTCAAAAGTAATCAATCAAATAATTTTAAAGAATAAGACTGCGCTAAAAATAATCCATAGATACTGTATAGTGCAAACTGAATGAAAGGTATGTTTGGCTTTGTGTTTTATTTTTTATCTGTTGGGAAAATATGTAGTTTAACGCAAGATTATTTGCAAAGCTCTTTTGTGTTTAATGTTTTACAAAGTATTTTCTCTTCGCGTCCCGTATATTAGAGTAATATTCTAGTCTTTAATACTGTCGTGGAATCACTTGTCTTAAGATGGTGTGGTTATTTATAATCTGCTGAAAGTTTATTGTTAATTCTAATAACCTGCTATTTAATATTCGATGAATGAAAAAAGACTAATTCATGTAAAGCACCTTGGGACATGCACTAAGAAGAGCTTAGTGAATGAGAGAAGTAGTACGGTTTTATGATACAGCTCTGTCTTACTGGTTTGATTTGCTGGCTCTCACCTTTTCCGTGCAGGACGCTGTTGTCCTCAGTTTCTCTTCAATTTCCTTCCCAATCTTCTGAACAGTCACCTGAGTCTGCTTGATGGCTCTCTGGGCCATGCGCAGCCTGTGGACGGAAACACACAAAAACACAATTGAGAATCTGAGACAGAACTGACTTTAAGGTCTGGAGCCCAATGACTTCATGACATTAATGAAGACTGAAGTATGTAATAAAATACTTTCAGAGCCTGAGAAAAACACTACGAATACAAAACCAAGACAAAATGGATGTTCTGTTGTGTTCATCTCACTGCTGATCTATCTACATAAAATCATGCAAATGTCTATTATTTTCATTTAGGTAAACTTAAAGAAAAAATAACTAATGCTAGCACAAAAAATATATATATAAAAAATAATGACATTTTAAAGACTACAAAACAAAAGATTATGGTCATAAATTATCATATGACAGATAACATCGTCGTTATATTTTATATATCATGATATTAAGTTATAATATCAAGTCTTCATAAATATCAAGTCATCAATATCATAAATATTATAAATATCAAGTGTTATTATTTTACATATCGTAATATTTACATACAAACTTGATACATAATATCGAAATTTTATGTAAAATAATATAGATTTTACAGTTTATTTTTAGAAAAAAAGAAATTCAGGACACATTTATTTTATTTCAGGGAGCAAAAAAGATTTACATTTGACATAAACCTTTGGAAATGATTATCTTGTTATTATTGTGATTTTCTACTTACAGTACATGCTTCAGAATAATGACATTGAAAATTCTAATTGCAAATTTTAAATTCTATTTTACACATGCAGAGTTATAATATGATAAGAGGGTTATAATATGATATAAAAACAAAGAAATATTTTAGAAACAGTTGAAGTCAGAATTATTAGCCCCACTGTTTATTTATTCCCCGATTTCTGTTTAATGGAAAGAAGATTTTAACACATTTCTAAACATAATAGTTTTAATAACTCATTTCAAATAACTGATTTATTTTATCTCTGCCATGATAACAGTAAATAACATTTGACTAGGTATTTTTTAAGACACTTCTATACAGCTTAAAGTGACATTTAAAGGCTTAACTAGGTTAATTAGGTTAACTAGGCAGGTTAGTGTAATTAGGTAAGTTACTGAATAACCATGTCGACGTTTGTTCTGCAGACTATCGAAAAAAAATAACTTAAAGGGGCTAATAATTGACCTTTTAGCCAAAATAAAACAAATAAGAGTTTCTCCAGAAGAAAAAATATCATCATACACACTGTGAAAATGTCCTTGCTTTGTTAAACATCATTTGGGAAATATTTAAAAGTTTAATAATAATATTAATAATTTTATGCTTTAGGAGAGTCAAAAAAGGTACATACAGCAATCAAATGAAGGACGACAGTGGACAAAAGTGCAAACCCACACTCAGATGTAATGGAAACAGAACTTGCGCGTGAAGAGCAGATGATCTCACGTGGTGACCGATTTTATATTTATATTTGCATTAAACAGAGAACAAATAAACCCAGAGCTTGTGAAAGAACCGCTGGACTGAAGGGAGGTCAGACGTTGTTTTTGCATTGTTTGTTTACTGCCCAAAGGCAACGAGCTTGTTAAGATAAACTCTAATAAATAACAGCATTGCTAGGAGATTAATAACACAGCAGATGGATCTTCTTATTGAGCACCATGGTTCTCATTTGGTGCCTCGTTTTCTGAATCATCTGGTTTTACAACTACACCAAATGGTTTTAATATTACATTGTTTTAATCACAGTGGTATGGTGAAATTCTAAATTCACCTAAAGGGCATTGTAGGGCATGTAGGTTTTATAATTCTGTCAAATCAGCACTGTAAAAAATACTGGGTCGCACACAATGCCTTCATGTTGTCCCAACACAAATTTATTAAGTTAACTGCATTTAAAAACACAAAACAATTAAGTTTAATGGGGAAAAAAACGGATAAATTTCGTTGATTCAGCTCATTTTAAATAAGTCGTTTAAACAAGCAACAGAATTTTTTTTGAGGAAAATTATAAAAATGTTATATTTTAATAAATAATAATAATAATGATTTTCAAAAAAAAAAAAGCATAATATTTTCCAGAATTTGAGTCGTGTATGAATTTGTTGCAACTTATACATCCAAAGCAACTAAAATTTGAATGTCAATCAAAAAAGGAATACTATGTAATGTAATCCGATGCGATTTTAGCTCAGTTCAACATATTTTACAGAAAAGTGTACATATTGGTGCGTTTAATATAATGTCTGCAATATTGACAATAAAATAAAATCATAATATATTTGGGATTTTTTTAAATGATAATTGACTGGTTAAGACCAGTTTTGTAATGAATAATAATAAAAATGGCACAAAAACCATCAGTTGGTAGCATCAAGCTTCTGTCTAAATCTGTGATTTATGGAATAATTCACTCCAAACTGTTAACTTTAGAGCTAAGCAAGTTACCATCTTTATGCCGGAAAACAAAAAGTCAGAACTGTGTCTGAAATAAGCCTGGGCGATTAATAAAAAAGTAATCAAAGTCGACATTCAGAACTTATAATAAAACATTTTTTCCAGGTCGATTTTTCCAATTACTTTCCCTACCACGTGTGGAGTCACGTGACCCCGCTCTGTTTATACTTCTGCGTTGAGCACATGCATATGTTCCACAGCCCTCACATGGTCAGAGACCCCTCACCATGGCTGACACCGACGCTGACACACACCTCTCAAAAATGTAACTACATATTGCGACAATGCATAGTGCAAGCTCTGTGATTGGTCAGCTTACAAAAGATGCAAGAAATGCACTGTTTAAAATATTATTAACAGAATATACAAGAGTTATTTTATTTAGAAAAGTTACTACTTCTCTTCTACTTTTATTTTCCAAAAGTGCAAGTTATTTAATTTCACTTTTTATGAAAAAAATAAGCGACTACTGGTTTTATTCAATGTGTGTTTTAGTTGTTCAACATTAATGTTCAATAAATAATCATAGATGGCAGATAGTAGTGTGTGTTTTTTTCAGTTCTTTTAAAAACAAGTAATGCACCCTTCTTTCAAAAATCTCTGGGAGCATATTTACTGTACAAAACCTGTCCGAACTATGAGGGCGAAAAAATTAAATGAATACATAAAACATGTGTTCCTTAATCATAATCGAGTTAAAATGTTCAAATAATCAAGCTTTAGGCTAAATTGCTCCTAGTCCTAGTCTGAAATGCGACTGACTTACTATTTCTTGTTAGCTGAACTGTAGTAAAAACTCATCACATCCTCAATAGTCCTTATATACGTAGTATTTGTCCCCTAACTTAAATTATAATGATATTCAAACATCATTCAGGTAGACTTCATTGAGCAGTAAACACTTGAGGACTCTCAAAACATTCTCCTTTTTTTTGTATGTTTGCAAAGTGAGTGACATATTCGATAACAGCAGCTCTCACATCATAAAAACAACATTGCAGACAATAAATCTCACACACTCCTATTAAAAAATAGTCATTGTTATTGTTTGAGAATTTCAGCATAGCAACACCGACTCAACTAATGCCAATTTCATTTTCTTTCTTCCAAAAACTGCAGCCGTTTGGAAGTGTTACATCAAAACAGAATTCCATTTTTGTGACACGAAGAACACAAAAAAATGACACACCATCTCTGCATGAACCTACAGTGAAGGAGAGCATTGTTTTTACATTACAATATATTTTCCTAGAACAATAAAAGCAGTATAAGACAACAATCTGTGAACTACAGGAGCCATCAATCAAGACTAAATTGTGTTCATATGAGCTTTCAGCACCAATAAAACTCTTGAGGAAAAGAATATAGGAATATTTATAATAGGCTTTATTTTTGTTCACTTTTACACTTTAGGATAGCTGCTGTTTTTTGATTGGCTAAAAATGGTTGCCATGTCTATATTTGCCAATCATATTCTCAATCAAAAGCCTTTCAGGAATGGCGGCTGAGAGCTGGACCACACAACCTTTCAGCGATGGTGGGCAATTTACTTTGCTTCATACTTTCCTCACTCATTTTCCACTTGCTCGACCTCAGCTAATGGTTCCTCCACTGTGTTTCTGAACAGTAGGATTAGCACATTCTCACTGAAATCCCTCGAGGAGAAGCAGAAGTGCACATGGCCGGGTTTGAAAACAAACTAGAAACAATGCCGATGTTAATAAGCACACAGACCACAGCTGTTGTGCAGTAAAATATAGCAGAATATGCATTCATGAGGGCTTCAGATTCCAGGATTTAGCAAAGGAGTGAGGGTTAGCCTGTTAAGCCCCTGCTGGACGATGTTGTAACTACATTTTATATTTGGGGACATGAACTAATAATTAAAGTTTATTTGTATAACTCTTTTCACAAAAATTTTCGTTTTAAAGCAGCTTTACAAAATGTGCACATTATTGCCTTACGATCAAATTTAGCATATAGCACTGCTAAAGAAACCCAACCTGGACCATACGCTACTTGAAAACTACAGACCAGTATCCCTGCTTCCATTCATGGCCAAGATTCTGGAGAAAGTAGTGTTCAATCAAGTCCTGGACTTTCTTACTCAAAACAATCTCATGGACAACAAGCAATCCGGCTTTAAGAAAGGCCACTCAACTGAGACTGCCCTGCTCTCAGTCGTGGAGGATCTCAGACTGGCTAAAGCAGACTCTAAATCATCAGTCCTCATTTTGCTGGACTTGTCAGCTGCTTTTGACACTGTCAACCACCAGATCCTGCTATCTACGCTCGAGTCACTGGGCGTTGCGGGCACTGTTATACAATGGTTCAGATCTTACCTCACTGACAGATCATTCAGGGTGTCTTGGAGGGGAGAGGTGTCCAACCTACAGCATCTAAACACTGGGGTACCTCAAGGCTCTGTTCTTGGGCCCCTTCTCTTCTCCATCTACACATCATCTCTAGGACCAGTCATCCAGAGACATGGATTCTCCTACCACTGCTATGCTGATGATACCCAGCTATACCTCTCTTTTCATCCTGATGATCCCTCGGTTCCAGCTCGCATCTCAGCCTGCCTGTTGGATATTTCACACTG